TATATTTATCAATATAATCGATTTGTATGAATAATTATAAATATATTGTGCATGCAAATATATTACTTATCCACATAATAATTGGTAGAGAGTGAAATTTGTGATCCTGTGATGATAAGAAGTTTATGTTCACACTATTAAATTTTGTGATGTGCGTAATGTGACTTATATTGTATTAATAAATATATATATAAGGAATAAATGTGTGAAATCGTTAATCATTATTTTAACGGGTGAAATGACATTTTAAAGATAAACAGATTATAAGTGTTTAGAATTGTTTTCAAATGCGATTTATAATGGTTTTCAAATTAAATATCACAAATGGTAACACATACCTCTAACCTCTATCTCGTTGACTGGGACGACGAGCTCAGTAAATAATATTATTGCAGTACATTCCATTTATACTAAACATAAACTACAGTGTGATGTTATATTAATTGTATTATTAATGGGAATTGATAGTTAACCTTACAGTTTTCTTGACTAAAATGTGTCAATAGATTTTATATATCAAAATAGTTCATTTTAGTATTTTAAATCGCTTAAGATAAATTAATGTACGCATTATGAAATATATAATTAATGGCACACATGCCGGTATATTATTCTAGGCCAGTGTTTCCCAACATTTTCAACTCAACGCCCCTTTTAGAAATTAAAAATATCATAACCCTTCCCTAATTATAAGTGAAACGTTCGTTACGAGTGTCATGTAAAAAAAAAAAATCATGATTGCAGGAGAAGATATGGAGAGCCCAAACTGCTGCCGCAAGAGGAGGTCACGTACGCCGAGCCAGTGTTAATACCGCCGAACAAGGTGATACACGGTTCACCGAAAGCCACGTTGAGACACGCACCGATGCCGCCGATGGGCTTCACCCAGTTCCAACCGAACGGCGCTCAAGACAGTTACTATTCGCAACAGCAGAATATCCGCGATCATTTCGGAACGCTCCGGTCGCAGAGGGAACACAAAGTAAATAACGACACATAACTCACACTAAGTATATTGTTAGTTTAATATGATGACCTATACATACAACAACCAAATCCTAGTGCTCGACGATAATTGGAACGGTCCATCAAAGTTTACTCGTCTTAACTGTATTGTTTTATTTACCAAAACCAAAGCAGACATTATGTTGTAAATAATATCATTATAAACATTAGTATGGTCTTTAATAATTTTTAACTTGTTACAACACTGTACCCAAGATATATATATAAATTAACTGACAAATGCTGTTTAATCAGTATCACTAATTTGTAAAGTATACTTATAACTACTAACTGTAGCTTACTCTTTAAATTAATATTGCCTACTTATATCTTTATTTATTATACTCCGTTCAAAATGAGATCAGTGCGGGGAGCGGACAACTCGTGCGTAGAGTTCAGAAGCGGGTTTTTGAAGCCTCTGCAAAGACTTTAGGTACCAAAGCGGGGTTTATGTAATCCGACGAAAACTTATCACCGCCCGACTCTGGTTTAATTTCAAATAGAGTATCGTGAAATTATTAATAATTATGAGTAATAATAACGAATTTGTATTTATTATTATTATTATTATTATTATTTTATGAGTACAAAATGTATTGTATTACATAGTTTTTACCTAGTTAATTCCTTTCATTAATTATTTCTATTGCAACTTGTATACCAATGTCACGTATCCGCCGCATTAAAAAATATTAGGTAGATATATATACCTACTTGTTGTGGTATGAATGTTTGTAAAAAATATTAAACCCGTACCCTCATTTTCCTTGAAATCTGCGAAAATGTTATTCTAGCGTCGTATTACAGAAAAATAAAAATAAAAAAAAATTCTGTATAATAAATGTGGCTAACGTATTATAATATTATATATATATTGGTTTGGTTTGGTTTGCGTACTATATAATATCTGTATCATAATCCGTGCGTACATAATGTAACTGCAGGTTTTTTTCAAACTAATATAATATGGATTTTTCTTCTTCTTCCCTTCGACAGCTGACGTCCTGGCGTTAATATACGTTTCGACACATCGGCGCATATAATGATAACACACTACCTTATAAAATCCTGACTTGGATTTTTAAATAAAAATACCTTGCAAAATTTGATCCTCTCAAGAATAAATTTCTAGAAATCAGTAAATAAGGAATTTTGTAAATTCAGTAAATTAATAGGCAACACAAAAAAAAGTAATAATTTAAAAGTATATAGATAGAACAATCCTAAAATTGTTTTTATTTTTGCATCATTCCTCAAATATGTATGTACCTATATATGTATAATATATATATATAWAAAATGAATCAAAAATTATAATATTATAATAACGCGAAATGTGTATGCTTGCAGAACGAAGGAAACAATTATCACCACCGGGACGGTTTCGGGACGACCCGCAGCGTGAAAAAAGTGTACCTCTGAGGTGCGTCGGAGGGGAGGGCAAGACCACCGCGTCAACATAACGCGAACGCTAGCAGCTCGTCATCGCCTTCCCCTCCGAGCTCGTCGCCGTCACCGCCGGCATCGCCTTCATTGGCCGCACGCATAACACCGCAGCAGCAACAACCGTCGTCACAACAGCAACAGCAACAACAACTGCAACTGCAACAACAACAGATTCAACAGCAGCAGCAGCAGCAGCAGCAGCAACAACAACAACAGCAGCAGCAGCAACAACTCCAACAGCAACAACAACTCCAACAGCAACAACAACTGCAACTTCAACAACCCCAGCCACAAGCTCCGTGCAGTTTCATATACAGAGCGGGCGTGTGATGATCCGTTAGTGGTGGTCGGTTGTCTGTTGTGTGTCTTCGATTTGCTTACATATTTTTTCCCCRWGACTAGCTCTGTACACATTTTGACAACGACTTTGCTCCGTTTACAGTGATRATAATAATAATTGTTGATTATTATTATTATTATTATTATTCATCTTATATGAATTGACACAATGTATACACAGACACACACCGATGAAACGTTGTCGTCGTTTCATCGGCAGGCAGTTGTAGACGCGTTTATTATACAATATAATTATACTTATATGACGTAATCATCCACTTTTATGTATAATTATTATTATTAATATGTCATAAAGGTCGACATAAGTTTCTAATTCCCAGTCGATTTTTTTTTTTTTTTTTTACTTAGAAAAGTAAGTTATAGAAATAACATTTTTTTTTTTTTAGATTTGCTGACAAATTTAAAAATATGTGATAGTTATTTTGGAAGTCTTTATAAATATTTATATATTATATATTATATATTATAATCTTTTTTTTCATTTAGAACATATTTTACACGCTTTAATTACGTAATTTATTTTATAAACATAGTCTATATAATATGTTTATTGTTTTTCGCCAAATATTAAGACTTTGATTTAATTTAGTAAAGTTACTCATAACTTATACCTATTAAGTCAGGTCGTTTTTTTTTATTATTATTATCATTAGATAAATGTCAATTTTGTCCTGTAAATAATAACCACCAAAGTTTACTCGTCTAACTGTATTGTTTTGTTTTATTTTTTTACTTTTTTATTTACCAAAACCAAAGCAGACTTGTTGTAAATAATATTATTATAAACATACTTATTTTTCTAGTGATTTTACTTTTTTAAAGAATACATCCACATAATATATTATGTCTTAAATATTTATAACTTATTATTTTTAAATAGTTATTTTATCATAATATTTGAGTTGTTTTAACATTTAAAATACTTACAAATAATATATATTATTATATTCTGCTTTTTACTAATTATTATTACTATAATAAAGTTTAAAAATTGTAAATATTATGTTTCCCTCGTTTATTTATAGTTAAAAATTTAATGTTAGGTTAAACGTAAACTTAAATAGACACCAATTTTAAGAGGAACGCAAACTAATTWACTTGTCTTTTTAATATCAAAAGATTTTATCTAGAATTCTGATTTTTTTCACCTAATACAATTGTACACATAAAACATTATCAGATACTTACAATTTATTTAATAATTGTAAATCAAAATTGTCTGTTTATTTTCAACTAAACATCAGAAACAATGGAGTTACTACCTACTTTAAAAATTTTAATTTCAATAACAACTTTACATATTTTACACAAAATTTGAATATAACTTATATTAAAATAATATGATTAGTCCATACACATTTGTTTTGCACATTGTTATCACATTAATATATTTTACTGTCTTCCAACATAGTATGGTAATTTTTCAATGCACAACTAAAGATAATTAATTTACTTTCACATTATTTGTAACCTTTATCATAGTGAGTAGTGAATTATTTCAAAGAGACTATAATTATGTAGATATCTACTTTGATTTTTGATTTATTATTAAAATGGAACATAACACAAAGAAATAGCTGTCAGATTCAAATCTCTATTATTTAGTTAGTATGTACACATTAGCTTAGATAATTAAGGGATGGAATGGACAGTCTCATATATGTTCGACACCGCAATAGTTTTTGGATGAACAGTTTATGTCTTTTGGCAGCAARGAAAAAGTTTTTTTTGAGTTGATGTATACAAATAATGAAATCAATGGGCCTAATATTATTCACACTATGGTTATGCCATAAAAATGGATTACCAAATTCTCCTGTTATATACATTGCTGTCTAAACCCATGTAAATTGRTGTCCTGMTATTCAATGAATATTTCTCTAAAGTGTATGTCCCATCAATATTTCTTTATTATCTACGCTCAATATCAAGGTAATTTTTCGGTACCGGTTACTAGAATTATAATATTTTATTTTTATTCACATAATTACTAATCTATTCAAACTAAAAAAAAAAATGAATTGTGTAAATAATTTTTGTTTTATTTTTATTACAAATTATGTTTCATATAATAATGTTATGTGTTCAAATTTATAAAATGATTATATGTTTATGGGTATTACATATCCAAGGCATATTCGATTTTCGGATGTGAAGCATCATTTTAATAATGTTAACTTAAATAAGAAATTTTTAATCATAATAATATGCGTTTGAGCACGTTCCATTTGGTAGTTTCATTACATTTATTACACCATAATATTTTCAACAGTAATTTTTTTCTTATAATCATCAATACTTACACTATAGAATAATAACTGAAAAGAGAATAATACAATTTCAATAGCCCTTATTAATGTTATGATTTAATTTTAAATAATTCACCATGTGAAGACTTTTGACAAACGTACTATTGTTGTGTAGATTGTCTTGTTCAACAATTTAAATAGTGTTGTCTCTGGCATAACTATCATTGTAATAGTGCTAGTGGACATTTTTACATTTACTAGTTATTCTAAAAGTAAATATAAGTAATGTGATCAAATATGTTACTGAGATGTTTATTAATTGTATTGTATTGTATTTTTTTTTTTTTTAATATCAAAAATAATTATTAATTATTGTAATAATATTATATTATAGTCTGCCACGGGGTTCTACTGAACATTTTGTATTGTGTGTTACAATACATTATAGGTGGATTGTAATAGAAAAACTAAATTTTCTATTCGAATTTAGTTTTCCACATCAAACTAAGTAGGTAGTTGAACAAAATAATATGTAAAGTTTAAATATTTGACTGTGCTTAGTTTATTTTTCTATTAAATATATAATATTATTGTGGCATACTGTATAGATGATATTGATTCCATTGTAAATTTTAATAATAATAAAACAACATTCCAAAAATTCTAATAAAAAAAAAGACGATATTATATTCATTACACGTAGTTGTATAATTTTTTAACTGTTAGTAATTTTATCAATTTATATTTAAAAAATAAATAATTTGTATTTTATATCTTTTTTCTTTTTTATAATATATTTATTTTATTTACTTAGGAGAGTAGTTTAAAAGTCTTTTATACTTTAGAGCTTGGCACTAACTTGTATGAAAAAAAAAGGGCAACGAGACTGTAGAAGAAGCTCTAAGATATAAACATATTGCATGCTAAATTTTAAAATTACCGCATATTGTATATTCGTATGTATCTACGCATAAATTAGCATGTGAAAGTTCCATTTATTTATATAACTAAACATTATATATATTTTTTTTTTTGTACAATTTTTTTTTTCATTTGTAAATGAAATCAAACCAAACGTACTGATTGCATATACCTAATATTAATTACGGTTATTAAAATGGTTAATAGTTTACATATTAAATAAAAACAATTTCTATTAGAAGTGTCTTGTATTATTATTTTTTTTTTTATTATGGTGAAAACAATTTATAAATTCCGTATAAACAGTATTCATGATCATGGACAGCATAATATAAGTGTCTCTGTTATTTTTTAGGATAATATTATAAGAAGGCTCAAAATTTGGTGAAACCTAATTGTTTGCCTAATCCTTAACTAATCAAGATTACCAATTATTATAATGTAAAAAGTAATTATAATTGGTAGGGCATCTACTAGTTTTTAGAAAAGCTTGGTTTAAGTTAAAAAATCGTCATCTCTCCAATTTCTTCTAAAATATATAGATAGATAGGTAGAGGTATTCAAAATTATAAAATATAATATATCATTAAACTATGACAGAACCTACCAATTAATCACACTCTTGGCTTATAACTACCAACCACCGTTCCAGGTGGTGGGTGTATTGCCAGTTAACAGAGAAAAAAAAAGGTACCTACCTAATGTCTAAATAGTATCAAAACCAAAAAAACTACCTACCTTATAAGATATCAAGAATATGTATTTAATGAACTATGATGATTGATGAGGCTGCTGGYGAATGAGTACCTATATGAGAAATTGATTATTTCATTGATTATTTCATCAACCATTTAGTTCTGGTTCAATTTGTTATACAATTTAGATACCACTAAGTGCATCTAAACAATGTAGCTACTTCAACTGCTGAACTATATAATATATTAAATATCTTTTAACCACATACCTATGCATCTCCCAAAAGCTTAAGCTACAAACTACTAGGTATCTTTGTTTTTAAATACAAATTGTTTTGGCCTTATAGTTTATAACTATAACAATTTCATCCCCACATCTACTATGCATAAAAAAAAAAAAACAGCACAATTTTATATTTTCATTATTTAAATACTATTGGGACTGACTTAGTAACACATAATTACAAATAATCAGACTTATAAAAAATAAAAAATCCAAAATCGATGAGTAAAYAAAATGTTACTAAAACATATTTAATTGATACATTCAATTGTTTAATTTTAAGAGTTTTTACTTTCTACCTATATATTAGATGACGTTAAATGAAAGTATCGAATTTTAAAAGAGTTAGTGATTAAAGAAGCATAGGACTCGTAAGAGCCGTTTTGAACAAATTTCTCTGAACTAAGCGAAAAACTTTCACGTTCTGTAAAATGTCGAATTCTGTTAATTTTTTTTTTTTAATAAACCAACATTCCACCGTTGGGATCAAAGCTTGATTTTGAAAATTATAATTGTAAAAGCTAAGTTATAGGTGCATTTGAATAATGCATAATATTTTTTATAACAATATTAAAAGTAAAATTAAAATTATGGCTCTTTGATCTGACCTGAAAAAAGTTTTCATCATTTAAATAAAAAATAAAATATCAAAATTCGATTTATCAACGAGGTGCGAAAGTATTACCATTGAAGACATTTTTGTTGATGTGATACGCTATAATACGCTATAATACGCTATACCTACCTCCCATTAATATAGGTATTGAGCATTAGATTATAGGTAGTGGAAAATTATTATAATAAAATTAATGTATATTTCACTCCGCGCTACGAGAGAAGGAATCCATTTCGCGCATGCAGACTGACGACAGCAGGYTAGCGGTACTATAGGCTCCGTTTCCCCCACTTTTTCCTCTACAGTTCGCACTGTGGCGTGCATACATGCGCTAATTCGATTGCGTTTTGGTCGGGACACGGGTTACTTCACTCGTGCCACAGAATATATAGTAACTAAAATATAAAGTATAATTTTAAAATTATTAAAATTAAATTTGTAAAGCTAAAATTAATAAAAAAAAAAGAAAAGTAAAAACTTTCTTCAAAGCACTCCTCAAGAAAAAGTTAGATTTAATAGGTGAAATAGGTTAACTGGAAGAACATGTCTATAGAAAAAAAAATATTG